TCAGGGACACCCAGGTCTTCTGGAGATCCTATGCAGCAATTAGAACAAGCTCCTTACCCTGATTGTTAGCCACTGAAAAGGTGTTTTATCTCTTCAATTTCCTAAATGGATCCTTAAAATAACTTCACACAAATTAAGAAAATGTTAGTAAATCTCAGTACATCATAAACAAGAAGATAACTTGGAATCTCTTCCACTGCCAATATCATCAGTCTGCTCTACAGCTAGGCTCAAATTCAAATTCTTATCTAAACATTTCCTATTTGAGCAAAAAAATCTAGGCAAGACAAATGGGCTAGGTTGAGTCTTAATTGTTACCAATGTCAAACATGCCAATCAATAAAGCTCAGACATGTTTAAGCATGACCAAAACTTCAGATGTGACAACCCTCAGTAAAATGTTTTTTCAAAGTACAATGTGAAAAGGTAGATCAGGGAGGCGTGCCTTATGTTCAGGTCCAGAGAGTGAGGGCCACTCGGAAACAGACCGATCTGAGTTACAAAAGAAAAGAATATTGACAGGATGTATTCGAATCTCCACTTAGAGATGGAACCTGTTGCAATGGAAAGTCCTGGCTGATTAGGGAGCCTTTTAGTGGCTTGGGCATGGGAAACACAATAGCCAGCAGTTAGCTACTTTTAGGCTAAGATTTGAATGGAGATATGGAAAATGCTAAAAGGATATGAAGAAGGAAATAATTTTGGATTTTTAAAAGGGATAAAGAAAGAGAAGGGGACAAAGCGCTCACCACCTGGCTGACCTAGATGTAGCCAGTTACAAGGTGTAATTTTGCTAAGTGGCCACCTGAGGGCACTGTCTGCTATGCACCCAGGACCATGGTAGGGCCCAAGTCAAATTCAAAAAAGCTTCAATTTGCTGATGGATTAAGTTAATACTTAAATAAGGACACACATGGAAGATGGAGACCCAAAACTATTCGTCTGTTCTATTTTTAATTCTTGAACTAGATAAATGAATAAGCAAGACTGACCTCAATTCAAATTCCCGGACACTAATAAGGATTACATACAATAACCTCATTTAAATCCATTGAGTATTAAATAGGGACTCAATAAATATCGGCTCCTTTCCATATACTTTAACATACAAGTTGCCAAATTAGGACAAGAGAAGCACACAGAGGGATTGCATTATCTCACTAAAGAGGTCAGTACTTAAAATGTTCCAGAATAGAGACGCTATATAGAATCAGTAAAGAACAAGTAAATGCCGTGTCTTTCCTTGCATGTTACAGCATGTACGTAATAGCCAAAGGAACCAGCCCTCAGCAGCTGAGAATAAAGATGAGAACACCTGTATCAGTAGGGAGAGGCATGTGCCTGCCTGACAGTGGCGGTGCTAGGGAAGACCATTTGAACAAGGTCATCAGCACGGAATCCCTTTTTTGGAATGATCCTTAGGTTGAGACTTATTTGTGACTATTTCCATCTGAATCGAGGAGGGGAAGAGAGAGGTCTGGGTTTCACATTTCTACGTTTACAAGATGAAACACAGTAATGAACAAAAGCCTGCATTACTGTCAAGGCTAAATGTGAATTTTACATTCTGGAAACAAAGACATTCTGTTTGCCTGCACAAGCAAAGTGAGTTAATCCCCTCCCCAGCATCAAGTAACATAGTGCATAGCCCTATGCTGCCCTCTGGTGTTTCTTTTAGGTATAGTAATGCGTCAAGTATTTGATTTAGCCAAGTGACTTCAGATGAGGACTGACCAAAGTCAAATCAACTAAAAAGTGACTTAACGTTTGTATAACATAAATTGTGCCTTTTTCAGGATGCTAATGCACGGAATATAGTGAGGACCTCTAACTAGACCCCTGTTAACAGTTCCTGGGCATCCTTGGTGAGTTATTCTGAGAAGAACACGGAATTCTGCACTTCAGGAACTATCAGGCATGTGGTGTAGCTAAGCTGGCTGGTCTCACTTAGAGAAATAAATACCCTTCACTGATTTGATCTAGGTGTGGCTAAATCAGAATAAGTTTAATTCTCAGAGGGTGAATGTCAGTGAAAATAAACCCACTGACTCAGATGAAGTGATTCTCTTGTTTCGTGCATTCCTACATGACTCACATGCACAGTCACTTCCGGCAATGAAATCCTGCATGTCTCATACCTGTAAACCCATCCTAAATTCCCGTGGTTGCCCACTAGGGAAGAAAAAACAGCCATTGGTTGTTTTCACTTGTGCTTCCTGTATTGCATAAACGTGGCTTCCTCAAAAAGTCTTCATGCTCAGCCCAGTTTCAGTACCCACAGGTGGTACCATAGCTTTCCTCCCTGTCACATCCTGCATATGAGTGCTCAGACACAGTGTATTCCTTGGATGGTAACTTCATGGCAGGACCTTGCCATCCTCTCTCACACTCTCCACCCTCAGCAGAGGTCGGTGCTCAGTCAATAGCATCTGGCTAGCACTGCAGTCCTGCAGAGCAAGGACATGATGTGCTATAGTGTGCTCTCTCTCCAGAGTGTTTCTTGGGACTGTTGTTCCTATTAAAAGTCACACATCCACTTATAAGCTGAAACTTCAGCCTAGTCTTAGGGAGCAGTTCTCATTTTGTGATCTCATCTGAGAGGGCTGAAAGCACATTGGCTTCACAGGATTTAGCAGAATAATTATTGGTATAAAAAAATAAATAAGTCAACCTGAAGAGGTAGGTCTGTAAATAGGAGAGCTTCATACACAAGCATGAGACCCACAGTTAGTATCTCAGAGTCCACACAAACAGCCTTGCACATGTCTATCAATCAGTGCATAGACGCAGAGAGAAACAAGGGAATGGCTGGGGATTCTTGGCCCAATGAGAGACTGTGGCTCTAAGGAATATGATAGAGAATGATGGCATTAAGACACCCAACATCCTTTTCTCGGGTCCAGATCTGCAGTCATTCACACAGGAATGTGCCTGTGCACCCACACACAAACACACACATGAAAATAAACACACAAAACTACTCACCTTGGGGATTAACCTCTGATTTGTACTGAGTTTTTGTTTTTTAAAACATTTAGTGAGACTCTCAGACTTAAAATCGGACTTTGTTTACTCTTCATGTAACTAATTCATAGTTTCAGTATTTTTATCATGGAAAATGCTTTTCTTGTAATCATTATTAAAAGAAGTCCATGTTTTAAGAAAATGTGTCTAAGATTAGTAAAGTCACACACTCGTACCAGAAAGAATCCTCTTGCAGCCTACTGTTAAGCTTACATCTATTTTAATAAATAAAAAGCAAATATTTGCTTTTAGAAATTGCTGTTCCAAATATCTGAAGAGACACAATCCATGCAATATCATTGCTCATGATCACAAGCTGTGGCTATAAGTATTGAATTCTTCAAGCAATGGTGGACCCTATGCTTCTAGTCATTTGAATCTCTGACATGGTCTCTGAGGTCTCTAGTGACAAACATGTATGTGTTCTGAGATCTCTCTGAAATAAACCAAGCATTATTTTATTTTCTCGTAGTTTGCCTGTCTAGTACACTGAACTTCAGTCTCCCACTTTCCTTAGAAATGGCCTCCTTAGTCCACCATGCAAAATGAGGGCATCCTCTGAATACCAATCTAATACTCAGCTCACTTCTGTCTCAGAGAAGCAGAGAAGCTTGTTAAACTGCATTCCTTTGAATATCCTGTTAGGTTTGCAAAAGAGAGCAAGCCCTTTGAACTTAACAAGGGCTATGAAAGAAGGGAGACAACATTACTACATATTTTACATGTAACAAGTAATGATCCAGCATTGTAAATATGAACCATAATTACATAAAGCAAAACATTTTCTTCTTCCAGCTTGTTTAGAAGGTGATTTTTTCTCTAGAATGACAACTGTTAGATTACCCTTCTCCATCTCTGTAACTCTCTAATGCTTTTATTTCTTGAATCAAAGGACGAGGCCCCATCGGTATAAATAAGCAGATTTTTAAAGTAGAATACAGCTGTAATGATACCTGAGAGGCTTTGCCATACACCAGGACAAAGCAGGAGAGTAGACAGGGAGCTCTGCTAAAAACCTGGGTTTACTCCTGTCCTCTAGAAGCTATTCCATCCCTAGGTGAGATAGTCAAGCTTCACAGTAACAGCCCAGTTTTAGGACAGGACATGTGGCTACAGTTCTCACAGACCAATTCAAATAGAATCTAATATTATTTTATACTATTGTTAACATGTTTTCTAAGCATTAGAAGAATTAAGTCTCAATAAAGAAAAAAATGTCAGCTAAGACTTTCTCAACAGCTCATTAAGCAGTATCTCTCTGTGTGTGTGTGTGTGTGTGTGTGTGTGTGTGAGAGAGAGAGAGAGAGAGAGAGAGAGAGAGAGAGAGAGAGAAACAGATAGATAGATAGATAGATAGATAGATAGATAGATAGATAGACAGACAGACAGATAGATGACTAGATGACAAAGACAGAGTAGTAGATATCAGGAACATGTGTGTGTGTGTGTATGTGTATATACATGTGTGCATGTGTGTATTAGGAATGTGGTAAGGAAATAAAACTAACAATGATTACAAAGGATAAACCAAGCTCAGAGACATTGGTAGAAGAGTCTGAATTCATACTGGAAATCTGACCAAAACAGGGGAATAAAACTAAAAGGGTCTAGAAGTTCAATATGTATCTGGGTTCTATTAAATTCAAATTGACAGAAAAGGATTAGGACTGAAGAAACTCACAGGTGCCGACTTTCATAACAATATCAAGATTATGAACACATTTTTCTCACTTTTAATTTTTAATCATGCATGCATTCTTAAGTTGCATTTTTGAACTGTTATTAAAAATGCATATGTCCGTGTCACATTAAAGGAAGAACAGAGATTTGTGTGTTGTATTATTAATCATGTGCAAAAACTGAAAGTATGGTCAGGCTTTGCAGAAGGCATGTGCATGTGCACTAAGCAAAGATTTTTCTTCGCTCATGGACAGATGTTGGAGGGATGCTGGTACTACGACTTAGACAGTACTTACTCTTGAGGTCTAAATTTCTGGCTCCCGCAGTGATTTGTGTTGTGATTTTTGTGTCAATCTTTACTGTGTGAAGATTGCTGGTGTCCCTTGAAATCATCACATTGTGCCACTGATTGTCGTTGAGTGGTTTGTTTGAGCTCCCTTTGATGAGGTTAGCACCATTTCCCAAGTCAAACACATAATGCAAGTACCTAGAGAGAAATGAAATGGAGAAAAGAGCCATTGCTTTCTGAATGAACAAGGATGGTAAACAAGACATCACACATGGACACTTTCAGGTGAATTCATCTTTCTAGAGTCTTAAGAAGGAGTTGGCTGCATGACAAGCTAAAAGAAGACAGTATCTATCACCTTTACTAGGAATTCCCCATTTCCACTCTTTCCTCATTTGGTTAATCACACTGACATGGCAATTTTTCTCATCGGAGGTGTATTCTCAAGTATTAACACCACACTCTAATGAATACTCCCTACTCCATTTGTATTTCTGTTCCACCAAGATCCCTGAAAATGTGTACATGATCATCCCAGGAACTGATTGTCACAGTTAGGTTCTATGTTGGTGTGTATGTGTGTGTGTGTGTGTGTGTGTGTGTGTGTGTGTATATATATACACAAACATGTGCATATATAGAGAGAGAGGGGGGGAGGGAGAAAGAGAGAGATCCTAGGTTGGGAGGGATCTGAGATGTACCCAAGAGTGGCAAGGAAAACATACGTATTTATGTTAGCTGATGTGTTATCTAGTCTATAGTAAGTGTACAATGTTCACTGAGTGGATAAATAAATGTCCAAATTACTGAAGATGCATTCTTTGGCCATTACACTTTCAGAACATTTTACTTATACACCATTGTTTCTGAACACAATTAATCTTAAGTTAATTAAAATTTCATCAAATAACTGATATAAAAAACTGAATTAGCTACTTATTTGAGCACATAGTGGCCTACCAACCCTTATGTAGAATTAGTGTCTCAGGAAATCCACATTTGAAGTATGAAGTCACAGGAGATCTACCCTGAACTAAAACTGACCTATCCTTACATATAACTGTACATACAAGCGACTGCATTGTTTTCTAGTTACTGAAGATACCTACTAAAGGTTACGAAAATCTGAGTAACTTGACTTCCTCCTCCTGCCTACCACTGTATTAAGTCAACATACTGTCTTTCACATAGAATTTGGGTATTAACATTCACTTTTATATAGTGATTTTTTCCTCTTTCTATTGAACTGACATGTACGTACCCTTTAACTAATTCAACCACAATAAAGTCATTTCCATCCCCACTATTATACAGGATTAGTCCATCTAGGGATGTTGTCTTGAATTGGAAAAACAGATGCATAGAAGTGTAGGCTTGCAATGTAGCTAAGGCAACATAGCTCGATTTGGTCTTGAAGGTGACAGGATCCGCAATGATGTTCCTGAATCCAAACCTGGCGTTGAGTTCACAGTAATCTATATCACCATTTTTACACAAGTCAATGTATGCCATTCCATTAAATGTCAGGCTTTGCAGGTGCCCAATGAAATTGGAGGGAACAGAAGATAGATAGCGTCGTTCTGTGATGATGCCCGTCTCTATGTTATGAAACTCCAGCCTTGTATGATCACCTGCCATTTGGCCTAAAAGAAAATAAAATAAGTGCATCTGAAAGATACTTCCAATTGCAGATTTTCATGGTAATAGTATATTTCAAAATACAAAAAGCAGATAAACTACTTGATAGATGTTACATGTAGCAAGAATATCTAGGTGATGTTTAAGGGTAAGGTGGCCATATATAATAAAATCCCCTAGGCAAGTTTTAATACCCATGTAAATTTTAGATACAATAAAAATTCTCCTCATGCCTGGGTATGCTGATGCTCTTCTGTCATTCTAGGACTTGAAGAGCTAAGGGAAGTGGACTATGAGTTAGAAGCCAGTTTTACCTACAGTACTGAATTCTGGGCCAACCTGTGCTATATTAAAAAACTGTGTCTTGATATAACTACAGCAACAACAAAATTCTTATTTACATGTTATCACTTTCATAAAAAAGGTAAATAAAGGAGGAAACAGAAAAGGAAGAAGGTTGAGAAAGGAGGCAAAGAAGTTTATGGCTAGTGATTGCTCTAAAGAACTGCATCCCCATTAGCAATCCACGAATCTTAGCCTTATGGTTAGGTAATGTTTCTATTATTTGTTCCTTAAATAGTAACATATTATTACATATCTATCTATACCCTGTATAAATAGGAAAGAACCACTGAATGTTTTTGTAATGATGAGCCATTAAGATGTGTTTGAAATCAAAAAACATTGTTTGCATTTTTCCTTTTTTGTTGAATATCCAGATTGTCTTCTTGCACTGGTCTCCCAAATACTTTAGAGATAATCTCTGTGCCTGGACCATGCTCCTCAGATTTTTCATTTTAAATAACTAATTAAGCACAATGCATTAATTCAATGCACACTTGGTTCTGAGGAGAATGCAAGTGTCATGAGCCTACACAACCACAGGAGACCATCTCAAACATCCAAGTGGGTTGTGTTTGCAGCTTTACTCAGTGACTACTCCATCCATTTCCACTTCTCTGCTCTCATAATATTGCTCTGTCAGTCCCATTAATAGTCACACTAATACCATATTTACCTTAGAGTAATGATCGTATCTTCCTATAACTTCAAACTTAAATAAAAATATAAGAACTTTGTTTCTAACGTGTAAAATACAGCATCCATGAAAATGAATTCTTTCTTGTGGATCATTTCCAACCTCGTATTCCCCACTAAACCATGTATGCCTCACGTTCTGCTGCAACTCACAAAGGTCACTTAAACTACAATCAAGTCCTTTCAACCAAATTCTTGGCTAGTTTCCCTATCTAATTTGGCATAATTGGAAAATTTATTAAGCTCAACCTATGTTATCATCCATGATACTAATGAAAACCTTAATTAGGGCCAATATCAGAATCAGCTCCTGAGAGGAGGCATTGAACCATTTTTCTAAGCTTAATGAATATTGGAACTACCTATGTGGCCTTCCACTAACACTCTGACAAGCTTTCATTTGGTTATTAAGAACAGCAAAGATGCTGGATGTAACAGAAAACAATGCTGTAAATAAAATATAACAGACATACTTGGTTATATAAGAAAAGTGTTTATGCTATCAATTGACTTTAATGAGTTTAGATTCATTAGTACAAAAGAAGTCTCCTGGTCTGTGCTTAATTCTTACTCTCTGGGAGTCATCCTTTCTCCAAGATGCTTCAGCTCTCTTTGTTATGTTTTCTTTTCAGTCATTGGTTTGATTTCATTTCTTCTTTATACAGTGAGAAGTAAATCCATACTTTACTGAAAATGGCTATTTTCCCATCTACATACTATGAAGCTTCTGGTTATGTTAGTTAAGTAAAATACTATTACTTTCTTAGCAATTCTGAGTTTTCATATAACATCATTTTGCTTTGCTCTTCAGTTTTTTTTCAATGTCCTTAATACTACTCTGTTACCAAAGAGGAATCTTTGGTAGCTACAAAATCAATCTTTAATAATTCTCAAGCTTAAAGCTCTACAGACATCAGCAGTATTGAATTAATAAGCTACATAGTATAAGGAATATAAAAAGACTGAAAATCACTGAGGCTTCAGTACTGATGTTGTTGACTTTTAATATTTTCTTGCAGCAGCAAAGATTTGAGTTGTAAGTTAGTTTATCCCAATTCTAAAGATTAATTAAGTTTTTAGGTACTGAATGAGTTAAAATCATGAGCAAGTGAGGTTGGTGGCTCATACAAAATTAGAAGGTTACTGATTATAAGATATTAGGGGGGTTTAATAGGCAGAGGACATCACACACACACACACACACACACACACACACGTGTGTGTGTGTGTGTGTGTAAGTGTTTATAAGGGTAAAGAATCTGAAAATTTTTGTAGATACAGTTTGAAAGATTTATTAATGATGTGGGAATGAATTCAAGAAGGAACATGGTAAGTGTTGGCTCACAGGTTTGATTTAGTTTAGGTTTGATTTAGCGTTTCTCATGTTCAGTAAGGGCACACATCAACATACACACACAGCACACAATCACAGGATGTTATAAGAAGTAATGAAATGAAACCCACTGACTCTCAATTTAAGGAGAGTTTATAGTTCGTGCAACCCCTTCTTATCTAAGACCTGGCCACCCGCCATCTTTGGCCCTCTCTACTTGAATTCCTATCCTCATTAATTAATTAAGGTGAGTTTCAGATATTCTCAAGAACAACAAAGTATAATATACTTTCCATTTTCAACAAACAGGAATAGAATTACTATTTCTTTACTATGCTGAAAAGCTAAAGGGCCTAATATGAAGGGTCTCTAGTACTTTACTCCTTAAAATTATTTCTCGTTATAATATGCTATTTAATAAAAGTCCCTATTAATTTCCTGATTCATGGTGGTTTCAAGTGGCCACCACATTCTTTTAAAACATACCATTTTACACCTAATCATCAGCCCTATGTTTTCACACTGAATTAGGAAATCTTTTATACTATGTAAATCAAGGTAGAATTGTTATTATGGTTAAGTATTGGGTTGTTGAGATCTACAGTAACAACAACAAAAAGAAATAAAGCCTGGAAGGAGTAAAGAAGCAAATAATATAATTTATTGGTTATACCAATAAAGAATTTCGATAGTATTTTAGATGCACTATCAGATTGAATAAATAAATAAAGGGTATCCAGAATTCACACTTTAACGGAAAATGCATGGGCATATGAAATAAGAAAAATCAGGAGACAATGCTGTAGGCACAGCATAGCAATGTGAACTCATGTTTCCTAAAACATGTCTATGTGCATGTTTATACACATATGTGTTTAATATGTATGCATACATGTACATTTATGCATATATGTGAGTATAGATACACATGTTTGTTGATGCTTCTAATTTGTACCTACTCAGAAAACCATATTATAAAGACACCTAGTAAGAACTGAGCACATTTTACCACACAGTCTCTATACATAAGGCTCAGGGACCATCGCAGAAGGGTAAGAAGATATTTCATGGAAATTGCAACCATGAAATCACAACAATATGGCTGCTTGACCAAGACCTAAGCAATGATACCAGCTGACATGTCAACGAGAGTGAGGGAGCTCTCAATGTGTCCCACCATTAAGTGAACAGTCACTGGTAATTAACAAATGCTTAGATAGAGTTAGTCGTCCCCAGAGATACTACTGTAATGGGTAATTCAATACTAAGTGCCTAACTCTAAACACAGACCATGCCAAATGGACTCAGTAAGCTGTATTTGTGTTTATATGTGGTATTCGTGTATGTATATACAATTCATATGTATGTATTATACATCCATATATATGTGTATATATATTATTTACATATATCATTATGTATATATATTATTGTGATATGTATATCACAATAATTTTTAAAAAGAGGGCATTGCCCTATCTGCATGTACATCTGCATGCCAAAAAAGGGCATCATATGTCAGTGTAGATGGTTGTGAGCCACCATGTGGTTGCTGCAAATTTAACTCAGGTTCTCTGGAGGAGCAGACAGAGCCGTCTCTCCACAGTGCATACATTTTAAAGGAAGTGGGAGATACAGGAGAGGTTGGAGGGATAAATTAAGGGTAAATTAAGTTATTTATATTTTAACTTAAAGTAAAATAAATTTTAAAAGTAACCTAAACTAACCTAATGATGAAAAGAAAATGAAGGGGAAAAAAAAACCTTAGACACTCTTCTCGGCTCTTATAATAATAGCAGTTCAATAAAAACCTACTTCTCTTTGAGGCTCAGTTTCGCCATCTTTAAAATGAGAATGCCTGTGCCCTATCTGCTTTACAGGATAAAAGACACTCGAGCAGAGCAATATTCTGCCGAGACTTTTGCATATATTGCCCTTGATTTCTAAAATTCAAGGCCATGACTTTAAATCTTCTGGATAACACCAAGTTGCTTCAGCAAATAATGTTTAAAATTCCATTCTCTTCCACGAACTGACCTTAACTAAAATCAGCTGGCCTCCAGCAGACACCGCCTTAGGTGACTGTTTCAGAGCCTTTTATGAATGGCGACAATATTACATTTATAAGATTTTTTTAACATCCATTGCTTTATTTTTTCCTTATAATGAAAATAAATTCATTTCTCACATACTATATCTTGATTACAGTTTCCCCTTCCTCTATTTCTGCCAGTTCTGCTGCACTCCGACCCCCACCCCATCCAGATTCAACTCCTTTTTGGTCTCTCATTAAAAAACAAAAGGTTTCTGAGGGATGATACTGAAATATAATAAAACAAAAACTATCATATCGGAGTTGGACAACACAAACAACGAAAAGACCCCATACGAAGTTTCCAAACACACATGTCAGGTACAACAGCGCCTCCTGCAGACATCTTAAGGGAAACACAAGCTAGACTCCTTTCCACTTTGGGGCTCTTCCCGCAAGTTCAACACACAGAGAAAAAAAAATTAGATAGTCACAAATACCGATGAAATAAATGACAATGACTGTTCTATGTACTTGTGGTTCACTTCCTTAAAGAATGATTTCTTCAAAACTTATAACCTCATGCATGCCATATTGACATTGAGAAAGTTTCTCTTTGCTCATCCTGGGAAGCCCTTTGGAATTACTATGAAAGGGACGTGTCAGGGGTACACAAAGACCCAGTGCTTTGTACTAACACTATCACTTGAGTGCTTTCTCTACAAAAGATACAGGAGCTATACTGTGCTCTACAGGTTAGTTCCCAAAGATGAGGGTGTGGAGACTCCTCTCCCGTTGAGTTCCCTAAGTGTCAAGGGTAAAGGTTCCTACAGCTCACTCACATTCTGGAGGTACAACCATGAATCTAGAATAGACCTTGACAGCCTGAATGCTAGAGTTCAACCAACAAACTAAATGACAAAATCAAAACAAAACAAACAACAAAACAAACAAAACAAATAAAACAAAAAACTCATCTCATGATAACATAAAATAATAAAATAAAGAGGAAAAATAAAATTTTCTCTCCTGATCATCAACAAAATGCATAAGAAACAAAGGGAGTAATGATAAATTGGCATCTAAAATGATTTAAATATTCTATGAAGCACTAAGATACTCACCAAGCCACAAAATTAAAATATAGTATAATTTCCTGAATGACAAGAAAAGTGACATGGCACATATGTTCAACTCAGTGGAATACTTAATAAGCTACTTATTAAATGGAAAGGTTGGTAGACAAATTGGAGGGGAAATGCACTGGATATAATATCATATTATATACTAGTTTTGGTTTGAAAAAACATCTGAAACTTAAAAATAGAACTATAACACATATAAGTGTATCTATAATCATACATGAATAGTTTAAATAGGCCAAGCTACTTGGGTGACTATCCCCACTCCCAACCCCCAACAAGAGCCACAGACTATCTAACAAAAACCCTATTTGTTGATCAGGTGAATCCAATAGATTGTACTCACATGTACATATGTATGTATGTGGGACTGCGTAAGGGTATTCTGGGTCATGCTTGGGCAGCTGCCTAGAACCCCGAGACTGCATGAGAACCGGCAGGAGTTCAGTGTGCCCCCAGAACCTAGGGTCCAGAAAAGCAGTCTAGCCTCCATAGATTTACATTGTTCAGTCACATAGGCCAGACAGCCCCTCCCAAATTGCACAGGTAGAGGGTGTGACTAGAGGCCTCAGGGCCTCGGGATTTACATACTAATGAAGGCCAGAGGGCAGATCCTCCCCCCCCCCAATCCTCACCAGATCCTCCCCCTTTCTCCCTCCCTATATAACTTGGGACTGCCCTGAGTTTTACGGAGGTACTTCCAGATTCATCCACCATCTGCCATGACAATAAACCCTTTTGGAACCAAGGACTTCCTCATGTTATTGGGGTCTGCTGCCACCAAAGCTTCCAGGCCTCTGGAACCTTAGACCTCCCGCCGCATGTGGGACCTGCTGCAGCGTGGAAGCCTCCCTGGACTCCACCACTGCAGCCCCTAATATTTTTCCCCACATATGTACATAAACAATAATTATTACAGAAGAGAGTATGATATTGAGAGGGGTGGTGGTGAGCTGGCCACTTTTATATCAATTTGACCTACGATAGAGTCGTTTTGGAAGACTGAACTTCAATTGAGAAAATACCCCTGCAAGTGTGACCCCTGGGTAGGCCTGCAGTGCATGCTTGATGACTGATGTGGGCGGGACATCTTATTGTGGTGGGTGGTTCTGAGTGCTGTAAGAAAGCATGCTGAGTGAACCATGTCAAAAAACATCAAAGCATAAAACAAAACAAACAAAACAAAAACAAAGCAGTGCTGTTCCTTTGCTCCTGCTTCAGTTTCTGCCCTGAGGTTCCTGTTTGAATTCCTGTCCTGGCTTTTTTCAATGATGACTAGACATGGAAGTGTAAGTATATTCAACTTTTTCTCCCTAAGGTGATTTTGGTTTATCAACATAACAGAAACCATACCTAAGACAGTGGAAGATGGGAGAAGCTGAAGAGAAGAGTGTGGAAATAATATAAATACACTACCCATCTATAAAATTCTCAAAATTTAAATAAAAAATATAGATGATGACAATGACGATGCTGATGATGACGATAAAAAGGTAACAGGGACCAAAGCATTTACCTGTCATGGCCTGCTGATCATCCACGGTTAGCTTTAAACTTTTTCCTCGCCGAACCACACGCACTGTGTGCCATTCATTATCATTGAGGTTATAGCCGGCAAAAAGGGTCTCAGGACCTTTGCCTGTAGAATATGCCAAACAGTCATTATGGACAATCAGAATCACACAAGAAAATGAACCTTACAGAAAGTGTGAGGAAAGAGAAAAGGAAAGTGGGGAACCAAGGAAGGAGAGAGAAAGAGAGGGGTGGAGAAGAGAAGAAGAGAAGAGAAGAGAAGAGAAGAGAAGAGAAGAGAAGAGAAGAG